ACAGTGTTTNATATATAACGCTAAGAGCCCTGTAAATTTATAATTCCAAGACGGTATTGGAAAACCAATGTCTATAAATATATACATAAACCTGTAGGTTGGAAAACCTATAATTGTAGAATTAACCATATTAATTTTAACATAATCTATGTAATGTAGCGGATTTCAGGCCAATAAATTTCTATACGTGTATATCACAGTGTTTGGTTTAATATAAGGTTAAGAAGCCAACATTATAAACATCTGAATGTAGTATTTATTTAAATACACAGTAAATTACAAAAAATCAGTTCACACGGCACATAAACAAAACATAATTCATAATAAGAACTACAAACGATACTAATATAACGTCTTTTTCTGTTCGTAAACAAGTTCTAATCTAAAGTCTTATTAAAATGTAAACTTTGGAATTGAAATTTACCACGTACTTACTTCTTATTGGTTGATTCATGACGTCATTGATCTAGAGCTAATAAAGACATAATAATCTCAGAATATTCCTGTTCTGCGGTAGAAAACGTTATGAATGTGAATACACCCAACATTTAAAGTAAAATTCATCTTTTCTATGGTAAAATGGTTTTCTGTAATATTAGCAGACCTCCACCGCCATTTCTTAAGTTTATTAAAGGACGTGCGCGCGTATACCTGTTAAGACGGCCACTTCTGACAGAGGAAAACTAGATGGCTCCACCAACAAATTATTTCCAAGATGATAATAAATTTAAAGGAACTAAATTTATTGCAAATGAAAAGTTGTAAGGGTTTAGCATTTGTTGGAGCTCCTAATGACATAATTTGGTTAGAAAATGTTCGCTAGTTTATGAGATATAAAATATTCTTTGAGAAACCGTTTATGGCTAAAAACTTTTTTTTTAGATCAAAACGGTTATTTAAAATATGTCATCAGGAAATTTGAGGTTTTCTGAAGGTAGGTACCTTAACAAAATTCAAGTGTAGAAATGGTTTAATATTTAAATGCATCATATCTGAAAATCGTAAGAATTCACCGACGAGAAAAACTGAAAAGCATTTACACAGCTGATTACAGATAGAAAATAAAATGCGTTTACAACTTTGGACACTATGTAGCAGATGGCGCTCGCCTCGCTTCATCCAGATTGTTATTCGTCCGCCTCATAGAACTTATGCCCGCCAGCCCGCCCAAATTTGATTCATACCAAAAAGATAAATTATGCGACATATGATTTCAATCAATATTTTGGAATTTTAGATTGTTTAAACAAACGGAATCGTTAAATACATTTAAATTTACATTCTTAGTAGTTTTTGTTAATAAATAAATAGATAGGTACTTGTTTTTAAATTTATAGTACATTGTGTAACGAGTGGGAAAAAGTTGCCAATAGCGCCACGCAGACGCAGTTGACGCACGAGCGAAGCGAGTGCGGAAATCGCCCAAGGGGCGCTATGGCAACTTTTCCAAACGAGTTGCACATACTATTTTCTATCACAAGTGCGAGTCGTTATGGGAGCTATAGCATAGGGGGTTAGATGCACGGAAAGTGCTAGATACAACAGCGTGATGTTATTTTCATAGCGCAACGCATTAGCCTTTTTATGGTTCGTTTAGTGTACCAGGTAACAAAGAGTAAAATAACTAAGTATTCAGTGTCAATAGCTATATTTAAAAAATGTCTAATTAATATTGGCTTAAGGCTCCATATTCTTTAAATAGTGTTTTCCGCAAAGACAAATAATTTCAAACATTTAAAAACTGAATAATCTAAAGCTTATCAAATAATAGGAATGTTATGTCATGCCACCTGAGTATTTTTAAAGACGCCGCAGTAAAACGAATAAACAGGTGCAAAAACGATCAAACCATCAAGGTTTTAGGTACTGAAATCTACGAAAATACTAACTTTTTTATATATAACTCCACATGTAAATATTCTTATAACATTTACTTGCTTAGTCCTACATATAAAATTGTTTACTTTTATTTATAAGTACGTGAAAAAAATTCTTAAAATGTGGGGTTAGGATAACAGAAAACGCGTTTTACAAACGCTTTTTTTTAGTAATTATTTTATTTGGGTAAATTTAAATGGTAACAATGAATAAACAAAACATCAAGGATTTTATTTTTTAGCTTACTTTTGTTCTACACGTTTTACTTTTCAAGATTTCAGTACCTAAAAATGTCAGAAATTTCACCATTTCTCGGCCAGGCATATGGCCACCTTCTCTAAAACCCTAAAAAATAATGTACATAGTCGTTAAAAAATCATAAAAATTAAATAACGAAATAAAAATGAAATTCAAAAATATGTTGAATATTTTTATTATTTATTAGGTAGCTATTCAAAATGTTTACAAACTTTGTAAGGTGTTAAGTAAATTCAAAAATACAAATTCAAATCAAAGTTACAAATGTAGCTCCCTGAAGTCTACTTGTGTCTACAATTGAGATGCGGACCTTAGACTGGGACTGGAATACTGTTTCTTAGGAAGTCTGGTTTCCATCGATGACGTTGAATGCCAAAAGAATAGGTGACTGTTTCGACTTTCTCTAGTCTCATCAGCATTGCACGGTTCGCTCAATGACAGCGAACAGCAACGGACAGCCACCCCTATACAGGGTTTCCCGAAATTCATACAACAAAATTTGGTCACAGATCCTTAAGACAAATTTAGGGAATCCGTATTTTTTCTTTTAGCCAACTGGCCCCTTTTTTTCGGAGTTACAGCCCCTGAAGTCCGCCCCTAAGAATAATCTTTTTTTTAATATCTCAGAATCCTGTTGGACGAGAATCACTAAATTTGGTACAGGGGTTTTATGACATGTGGAATCTGATGGTGCTACGTTTTTTGGCGGGGAACCCCCTTAAGACTATTTTTTGTGGGCCCCCCTTTTCTTTGGAGCCAAAATAATTTGGTTGCATATTCAAATTTCTTGAAATTATCAGTCCACTGGAAAGCCGTTAAATTTAGAATCTTTTTGTCTCTTTATACTTTTTTTTGTAAACGTAATGTTTTTGAGAAAATGTCAAAATGTGATCGAATGCATATCATGAGTCGCCATTTTCCTCAAAAACATTGTGTTTTACGAAACAAATATCAAAAGACAAAAAAGTTTCTAAATTCAAAGGCTTTCTAGCTAATAATTTAAAAAAAAATAAAATTTGCAACCAAATTTTTCTGGTTCCAAAAACAAGGGGGCCCACGAGAAAGTGTCTTAAGGGGGTTTTTCGCCAAAAAGCGTAGCACTGTGAGATTCCACATGTCATAAAACCCCTGTGTACCAAATTTAGTGATTCTCGTACAACATTGTTTTGGGATATAAAAGACTTCTTAGGTTTCAGGGGGCTGTAACTCCGAAAGAGGGGGCCAGTTGGCAAAAAGGAAAAATACGGGTCCTCTAAATTTTTCCTAAGAATCTAAGACCAAATTTTGTTGCATGAATTTCGGGACATCCTGTATTGTGGCTGCCGAAGAGAATGGAAAAGCATTCAAATATATCATTATTATTGAGGTTATATTGAGAGCAACTAGAAGTAGAATGGAAGTTATTCATTCTGACGTGGCAGAGATTTGCCCATAAAGTTATTTTTATAAAATTGTTTCTTTACATATTTTTCCATTTTCTTCTAATTTTTATTTTTCAAAGGTCACTTTTACGACGCCCCATACAGGGATCTCGAAAACGGTAATATATATACAGGGTAGCTTAAACTAGGAAAAATTTGCACGTTTTTTCCCCTTCAATTTCCTGAAAATAAATGAGATATTTTGTGTAGTTCTTGAAATAGCAGTTGTATACCAGTATTTCATAAAACACATAAACGCAAGCATTAAGTTGCTAAATAAAATCCGCAAAACAAAGTCAAAATTGGTTCACACGTACCAAACTAGTAAAATGGCTACAGAAAAACTAATAAAAAGCACTTTTTCAGTTTTCAGCCTCAGGAACTACATAAAATATCTCATATTTTTATTCAGAAAATTGAATGGCATAAAAACGTGCAACCTTTGTCTAATTTAAGCCACCCTGTAAATATTACCTTTTCCAAGATTGCTGTACCGGGTGTTGTAAAAGTGACCAGCCTGTATATTTGTGTTATACAAGGTGTTAATGAAATAAGTATTCAAAATTTGGGAGCGTTTAAAATATATGAAAATTTTAGTAGAATTTTTGTCAGTGGTGGACCCTAAGGAAGATATGGCCCCTTGAAGGCGTAACTCAGGGGCTGTATCTCCCTTAGGTGCAGCCACTGACAATAACTCTACTAAGGTTTTCATCATATTTCGATATTTTACACATTCTCAAATTTTGAGTACTGATTTCGTTAACACCTTGTAGTATAAGTCTACTTGTGTTGTTGAAAGGAATGGAACATCCAATACTGTTCCTTGGGAATACTAATTAATAGGCCGGATTTTGTATTCTTCCAATTTTGACGTTCCTCAACTGGTTTCTCTGTGACTGGAATGGTAAAAGAAGGTTAAAATAAAGAAAGAATGTGTACGTTATATACCTTACCTATAAAATTATTTATATCACTAAAAAAGAAAAGCATCCATGCAAAAAAAGTTAGTAATTAGTAGGTAATTACATAAGACGTAAATTTGCTCGTAAAATTAATTCGAAATATTTAAGTGCATGCACGAGTTCTGTGAAATGAAATCACTATAGCCTACATAATAGGAAATGTAACAATCTCGTGATATAGCAATACCTTTTCATGTTATGTATCATCATATTAAAAAGCAGATAATGTATATTAAAGTACGCGATGTTTAATAATGTGAAAATAATTTAACACGTCCATAACATGAGACAATTTAAAATTGTCGGTATATTACATCACGCCCAACTTCTCGTGATTGGATGGCACCACAAAACATATAAAAGAGATGGCACTGAACGTGTTTTAAGGTGTGTTCGAGTTGTTGTTCTGAACATACAAGGATCAATCTGAATTTTTGTATACATTTTTTGTTTGAAGCAGATTATACTTTAGTTGCACATATTGTAGATAGTAAATACTTTTATAGGATTAATAATAATACCAACGTGAATTTCAAAGAGAATGCCTAAAAATTAAAAACATTCTCACAGCGACAGACACTTTCGGAGTATCAAGTCGAACGCATCTTATAATGTATGCTAGAAAATTGCGGGAAATTGTTTGGAATTTTGGAGTGTTTCCAGGAGGTATATGTCCTATAGTTTACTGCCAGCTGCTACAGATATTTGGCGGCGTAGGTAGTACGTAGTTCTCTTTCAATTTTATTTTCTAATGTTTTAATGGGAAAAATTAAGTATGAGTAATTTCTTTGTAATTAGCTTTATTAGTCTGTATTTATATTTGAACAATAGGTATACAATAAGAGTATCACACTGTTTTAGGTAGCAAAATGTATTCTCTAGTTAAATTTGTCGACGACGGCATCTACTACATAACTCCTTCAAAAAGTACCACATTGATAGAAGGAACATTAGTATGGGCCCCATATAAACGTATGGGGTACTATGAAGCGAATGTAATTGCTACAAATAGTGATAAACCAATATTAACACAATTAATGCAGAAAAAGAAAAAAGAACAAGGTAGGTAATATAATTCTTTATAATTTGTTAAGAATTACAATAACAGCATCGTCAGAAAAATATATAATAGTATTATGCAGTGTTCAATTTTAACATATGAGATTAACAAGTTCCCTAAAAAACAACTCTATTCCATTAATAATAATCATAATTCGACTATTGTTGTATAAAAAATAAGTTTTAAGAACAAAAATATTTTTAACGTGTCAAGGTGGGGGCCTGGCACTTTTGACCCCGATTAAGGCAGATTAATCAATTGTTCGTTTAAATTGTGCTTGTCTTGTATTTTATACAAATTAGTCAAATCAAAGCATCTGATTAACTAATCGGCCTTAATTGGGACCAAAAGTACTGAGCCTAAATAATGTGTTAAATGTCTCCGTTTTTAATTTTAAAATATTAACTAGTTTCTAATTTAGTGACGAATGTTAACATTGAAGAAAAGGTCAATGTTCTTCAGATGGAACTAAAAAACAAAGAAAAAGCACAAGCAAGATTCATAAACCAAAATTAAAAAAAGTAGAAGATGAAAAAAGAAGCAATAAGAAGAAAAGACAAATTCATCAAATAATAACAACTAAACCGTCGAATTACAACGTAAAAGGTATTATGTATGAAATCTTAATTTTTTGAGATTTTTTATAAAAAATATAATTACCTTGAAAAGCTAAATACAAAAATTCTGAAATTTTAAATTTAAAGTTATATTTGAACTTCTTTTTGCAAATGAAGGGAATAAATTCATTATTATTTCATAAACTGGTAACTTTGGACAAAAATCTTGGAACACGTTGATTATTGTGCGTTCTGCGATATATGTGTCTTGCATAATGTTATGTATATGAAAATGATGATGTCATCGATAATTTTTTTAAATACAAATTTGAGTCGTGCGATGTCTCTCATATCAATAAATTTAGTAATAAAATTTTGAATAGTGTCGAGAAAAAATTAAAGTAGGTACATATTGAATGCAGAAGTATACTAAGTGTGATATCGCACTTAGTACCCAGAGAAAATCATTATTAGTGCCAGAATAATCGATAATAGGATCATAGCACCATATTTTTTCCAAATAATCATAACAGGTGATCTTGTTGATATTGTACAGCTTAAAGATGTATTGTAACAAGTGTCATTGAAAATACATTTTTTGGTGTAATTTGACAAATATTTCTTTAGCACTGTGCAAAATTCTATTACCTACCTAAACTTATTGATATGGTTGAATAAACAATTACAAAACCTTTCAAAAGAGCATCACATACTCTTGTTTGTATTTAAGTCATTGATGGTATCATCACCCACATAGATGACATCATATGTAAAACACATATCCCGCAAAATGCACTTTTAAAAATATAATGACATGCTTCAGGAATTTTGTCCAAAGTCACCAATTAATTAAACAATAAATTTATTCCTTTCATTAGCACCATACTGTATATCATTTTGAACAGGCACATATATTTTTTTTATTTTTAGGGAAAAAAGCAAATTTAAAAGTACTTGAACACAATGAAGATGTGGATGTTTCTTTTGAAATAGACAATGTGCATGATAACAGGTCAAATTCATTAAAAATGAATCAGTATTAAATGATCATATCGAAGAAAATGTTGATAGTCAATACACAGGTAACTTAGTTTTTTTTTGTGGTGTAAGTGGGAAAATATCATTTGAAAATATTTTTCTTAAAAAGTTTTTTTTAATGTTGAAAGTATTATAAAAATGTAAATATTATTTTTTAGAAATTGTTACACATGGTGAATTTAGTAATGAAATACGAAGAGAAATAGAACCACCAGAGTGCCAACCTGTGGTAGAACCTAACAACCAAGACAAATTAATGGATATTTCCTGTGATAATGGGTCAAATTCGTTCAATAATGAATCGGTGTTAAATGATCATTTAGAAGAAATTGGTGGCAGGCAATGTACAGGTAACTTATTTCTTTTTAATTTTTGTGATGCAAGTGAAAAATATTGTCATTTGAAAATATTTCTCTTAAGATTTTTTCAATGTTATAAGTTATAAGTAATATAAAAATATAAATACGTAAGTTATCTGATAAAACACGGTGTATAAATCTTAACGATTATGCAAGCTCATTACTACACTGGTTTGTTAAATGTTATTCTGTTTTATATGGAGAACAATACACTGACTATAATGTTCATAATCTTCTTCATTTGTCGAATGATGTGCAAAAGTTCGGTGCTCTTGAAGAGTTCAGTGCTTTCAAATTTGAAAATTTTATGCTGTTTTTAAAAAAGAAAGTTAGGTCTTCTTCTAAACCTCTGCAACAGCTTCATAACAGACTTGTTGAACGAAATAAGATAACTTTGCCTTCAAATATTAAAGTCTACCCAATTTTAAAGTTTATTACTGGTACAAATAATATTAAGAAAATAATCTTTGAGACATTTTCGCTTGAAAACAAAGACTGCTTTGAAGATGTCGCTGGACATATTTCCGAAATAAAAGAAATTTTGCATCAAAGTACGAAAATAACACTTTATGCAAAAATATATGATGCTACAGAACCATTTTTTAATTATCCTATTGATTCAACACATCTAAAAATATTCAAGGTACATGAAATTAATAATGTTGAACTACACACTGTTGTTTTATCGAAAGTTAAGAGAAAATGTCTTAGGCTTATTAATTTCACAGATATTGATAACAAATTTATTATAATACCTATGATACATACCAGCAATACAATTTAGAATACCCAATTACTACAATAAGAGATAACTTTTAATTTACTAAATGTTTTAAAGTAGGCTTTGTTTTGCTGATTTCTTTCTCAAGTGATTGCATTAACTAATGAACTTATTGGAGCAAAAATTCATATAATCCATTTTTTAGGACGAGAAATCTGAATATTAAACTAATTTTGAGATTCTGCATAGAGGTCACTAGTTATAGATAAATAGAAGGGTAAATTCACCCTGAAGTTTTTCTTTTCAACATTTAGATTATGACGATAATAAATTATGAAAGAAGATACTGTTAAGTAGAAAAAATTCACTTCATTAATGTCTATTTAGCCTCATTTTCAAGACATTTTAATGTTGCATTGCATGATAATTTGGTTTGACATAGTGAGGGTATTTAAAAGAATGGGACACAGAGCAGCTGAAGACTGAGGAAGTTAAAATAAAACGATTCACTAAACCATGCCTTAGTCACTCCTTACCGAAATACAGGGCCCGTATTCTGAATACACGATTTGATACATATCATATCATATCTAGTTATAGATAAATAGAAGGGTAAATTCACCCTGAAGTTTTTTTTTCTTTTCAACATTTAGACTATGACGATAATAAATTATGAAAGAAGATACTGTTAAGTAGAAAAAATACACTTCATTAATGTCTATTTAGCCTGATTTTTAAGACATTTTTATGTTGCATTGCATGATAATTTGGTTTGACATAGTGAGGGTATTTAAAATAATAGGACACCGAGCAGCTGAAGACTGAGGAAGTTAAAATAAAACGATTCACTAAACCATGCCTTAGTCACTTCTTTCCGAAATACAGGGCCCGGATTCTGAATACACGATTTTATACTGTGACGTCTATTGTCACTATGACGCCTGAGCGACGGCGGTTACCTCAGGCGCCAGTTTCCGTTTATAGTGCAGAAACACCACTACGCGGGCGGCTACAGTGAAGACACGGTATGTCCAGAGGGTCTAGAGAGAGTTAGACTTCACACAGGAATAAAAGTCACACAATTGGAATATATTTACATTTATTCAGTCCAATTCTACCTATTTACACTATTCTACTCTATTGCTAAACGGTTATGGTTATATACAGGGTGACTACGGAAAACGGTAACGGCGGTGCGGTGTTAAGCGGTGACCTGACGANAAATATTTTGCTTTATTGAACGAGTGAGGGAAATGAGTGAGGGAAATGGGTGAGGGAAATGGAAGAGGGAAGTAGACGTAGGTAATGTGACACTTTCAAACCTTCAATGACATTAGTAATGTCAAAATTACAGGTATGGTTGTAAATAAAGTATACTTTTTATACTTGCTTGTAGAAAAATATTTTTTATGACAAAAGTAAAATATGTTATTTTTTAGAAACTGTTACACATGGTGAATTCGATAATGAAACACTAAGTGAAATAGAACCACCAGATGACAAAGAGCCATCAGGTAATTTTATATACAGGATGATACCAAATTATATGTAAAAAATTTGAGAGTTGATTATTTAAACGATTTTAGTAGAGGGATGACCCCCTTACAATGACACTGGGTAACATTATAATTCAGAAAAAAATAGCATTTGATGTATTTGACGCAAAACGTTGCCCTAGTCGATATTTGTTTCATATCCAGTTTTCTAGGGTTTTAGACTTCTTATGCCCAGAATTTCAGTGGATATATATACTCAGTGGCGGCTCGTGACTTTTTGAGATGGGTGGGCAAAATATTTTTCTCATGTAACTTAATATCATATATTAATTGCAATTTACGTTAGTCTATTTACTTTTGAAAGTGTAAAAAAAAAGTATACCTAATAGTTCAGCAAGAACAAACGAGAATGTCATCACAGTGATTTCTTGCCGGAATAGGGGATAAGGCAAGGATTAA